CTGTCGTATGCGGAAGTGCGCCAGCTCTCATTTTGAGAATCAAAACGTCCGATAAGGCCGAATAGGCTAGGTGCGGACGTTAAAGATCCTCATTGTCCTTTTTAGGACGACCGATGTCATGGACGTCATGGATCCCTGTGGATTCAGGAGATAGAGGAAATGAGAAATTGGACATGTTCAAAAAAGCAGCCAATATGAATTCCCTAGGCCCCCACCTACTGCAATGTGGCCTTGCACCATTCCTAAAAAAAATGTACAAAGAAAAATAAGTAATGAGTACAACTCTTGGTGGAACAATAGCTCTAGCAAGGCAATGAAAGTTGATTAACAACCTGAAGCTAACCAAGGAGTTATAAAAAAAATAAAATATAATATCACAAGAAATCTGATCAGGTCGAAGTGCCAAAGGGCTTGTGGCCAGTTCTTTTTTCCCTATCACTATCGCTATCGGGAAGATTTTCGTCCATAAAGTTCGTATGACTACATCGAAAACATCGAAACCGGCTAATGTCTGCATCTGGCGCAATAGTTGGCTCTGCTTTTGGTCGCCCAATTTAATACCAGTGTTCAACCTTTTGATTCCTAACTTTCCTTGAGTAATTGGGTCTTCCATCATTGTCTCTGAATCAGTCCTTCCATTTTCGTCCTGTACGTTCGATGTATTTATCTCCGTTTTTTCTAGGTTTATTTTTTAGTATTTTCCTAAGTTGTTATTGGTCCTAAATGCATTTTGATTCCAGGTTTATGAGCAAAGTGGTAAGTTTTTATGTCTCTTTTGGTGAAGTATCGTTTATCGATTACAATTTAGAATTGTAATACTAGACACTAAAAAAATATGGTCAAAAATAACTTCTACAGACAGACAATAAAGAACCAAAATAACACAAATGTTCACCAATAAACGTCGGGACATCGCCCCAAGCTTCGAATTTCTAACTCCCATAATGTAAACTAAAAAGTAGAGACCTACACTAACACGTAAAGTGCTCAAGTGCCAGTCGTTTTACAACATTTTATAGGGCCCCATTTGTTACAAATAATATCGACAATTATGCTCTAAAGTAAATGAAATTCTATCCTTGGCGAATCGGTGTACTTGTTACTCTTCACTTTTATTCCGTCTTCGTTAGCCTTCCCACTATAATTAAGATAGATTAATAAAGCCAGTTTTTCCCCAATTCGCCAACTTCTCCAGTTTAACAGGTGATTTGTTTTCACCGGAACGGTGGAAGTAACCGAGGGGATTGGGGTTTGGGCTAATTACTAATCAGATAGCGAAAATCGTCACACCTCCGAACAGGGTGGCTATTTTTATTTCCAAGTAATTTTCTTTAAGGAAATTAGGTGGAATTCATCAAAGATTTCTCATTCAGCAATTAGCGTTATTTAGCTCCTATAACTCATTCTGAGTTGGAGGTGGTACGGTTAATGAGTTAACTTCTTCCCCTAATAACTCCGATAATTAACGCTAGCGGATGATAATGCCCAGTCCTATGATTTTTTTCCCAAATATATTATTACTGCACATTCTGCCTTAACTACTTTATTGTGATACAGCAGAGTATCTTGGCACACGTAGATGGCCAATACTCGTTCACGTAGAACAAGCTTCGCTGTCTTGAATGATCTACGATTATGAATAAGTAATCAATATTTCCGAGTCTGATCTTTAAATTATGTTTAGTTGAACCATTCATGCATTTTACGACCGATATAATTAATGATCAGACTTCATTTAAATCGTATGTCAGGAGAAAACTGTCGTATATCTAATTACAAGCTTAGGTAACTAAGAAAATTAAATGTGTAAAGATTATCGTATTCAACAATTAATTATAGTGGGTATATGCACAAGTGGAGACAACACATTTTCGCTTAGGATGCTTAAATAGTGAAGCCAAAGGGAAGTAGGTGTGGAGAGGTTCGCAAAAAGTCAATGTGACCAAAAGGGTAGTCACTGATCAGTTATCCAGTTGACAATGAGTCACGTAGTGGACACTTGACAGTTGGTCACGAGTCAACAGTATCTCACCGAGGTAATTATAAGGTATATTCTGAATATTCAGTCCAAGAATAATATTGTTTTTTCATTAAAGATAGTCATTGCATATGGAAATGCCGTTTAAATTAAATGCTCTTCATCCAACCCAAATGCCCATTAGCAATCCTGAGATTTAAACGGAAACGTGATAATAACTGTCATTTATAAAGCCAGAAACACACTTACCCGATGCTACGCCATGCGACGCTACCCGACGCCTTGCCACGTTTTGGTGGGGTGTGCACATCTATCCGACGCAAGAACACGTCGCGTACAGTCCACAGCGTTTATCACAAATCACTATCACAATCGCAACGCATCTTTTGTTCTTAATGCACTATTTTGAACAAAACCTTGTAATAAATTGTCAGTTAAATTTTATCAGCACAACCATCTAATAAATTGTTTGTTAAACTTAATTGTTTTAAATAAAGTTATTCCTAACCATCTAATTAAAAAATGAAACTTAATTGTTTTAAATAAAGTTACTCCTAACCATCTAATTAAACAATGTTTATAAAAACTTATGCATTTTTGATCTCGTTTAATTTGGTTTACATTAAAATAACATGTTGTAATTAATATAACGACAAAATTACATGTACTTAGTTGGAAATAAACTACAAAAAATATGAGTGTCCTGTTCTGATGCTACCCGACATTAGAAAATGGTGTAATTTTACGAGCAAAACTATGAAATAAATTGTTAATTAAATTTTATGAGCAAAACCGTGTAGTAAATTGTTCCATTTTTAGTATATTTACCGCCGAAGCGAGTACAATAAATTGTTAGTTAAATTCATTATATCAAAAAATCGTATTCCAGTGTTTTGATTAATTTTCTACCAAACCATTAAAATTAAATTTTTAAATAAAAGCTAATTAATTTTTAATCCCAGTTAATTTGGTTTATATTAAAATAAGTTAGTTGTAATTAATATAACGACAATAATACATGTAGTTTGAATAAAAATATGTGTGTCCGGTTCTTTTGTCTTCGACTGTACTCGATGCGACCCGACGAAAATCTGGACAGTGGGGATCGCAGAGCGTCGGGTAGATGTGCACGGGGGTAATGCAACCTTATGGAAAATCGGAGTTTGGATTTGCGTCGGGTAGCATCGAGTAGCGACGCATGGCGTAGCATCGGGTAAGTGTGTTTCTGGCTTAAAGCTCCTTGACACTTGTCTGGTGATTGGTCTGGGCACTCTCAACACGATACTCAAGAATGGCAGAAAACAAACACTTTGAGCCCTGAAGATGATCTCAATAAAGATAGAAACGTTGGCACGATAAAGAAAAACTTTTCTGACCGCATCTCACGATTTCCGAGTAATCATCTCCTTGACACTGTTGAAAATAGGATGCTGATTTTCTTTTTTATTCTTATTATTTTTAGTTCCACCACCGCGACTACTAATGGTTTTCCTTATATCGATCGAGAAAAATAGTCCAATAAATTGTTCATAATAGAAAGGATTTGGATTTACATAGTGTCAAACCCGCACTTGTACATACTATGAACATGTCCAGAGTTGACTCTGACACTTCTCGCAGTCCACCGACGATACCAACTTTTTCAATTTACAAAAAACCCTGGCAGACTAGGGAATCACCCATCCCGGGTGTTCTCTGTCCTATCCTATATGTCCAGCCACTGCTACATTGGGAATCGTAGTGGTTCGTGGTGACGCCCCTGGCGGGGACTTAGAGAAGGGGCTGCTCTTCTATCTGTGACCTTCGCCCGAACACTTGCGTTTGCCCATCGTTATAAGCCCGGCCTCACGGGATACGAAGGATCGGACCATCGAAGCGTATAGCATTGAAGACGCACAGACTACGCTGACGGAGTCGATTGAATATATGAGAAGTAGCGAATGGGAATGGATAGTGGTCGGTCGAAGTATATAATGTACACCTTTACCGAAGGCAGTCTACTCTAGGACCTGGTTAGCAATTCCACTTTAAACAAACCGCGGCCGGAGCGGATCCGGAAGTTCTTACGCTAGGGGAGCCTCAATTCTCTGGGTTGGCCTTGTCGATCTAGGGAGTGCGCGGAAAATCAGGCTGATGTATTTCGGTCTAGGTAGCCCTTTGCGCGCAGCATACGGTTCGATGCTCAATGCGGACCCAACCACTCGGAATGAGAAGCGGGAAGCGAGGTTCGTCTTGGACCCTCGGGGCGTGGACAGCTTCTACACCAACGTTGCAGCTGTAACACCCATCAGTAGTATGCGGAAGTGCGTCAACTCTCATCTTGAGAATCAAAACGTCCGATAAGGCCTATTCGGCCAGGTGCGGACGTTAAAGATCCTCATTGTCCTTTTAAGGACGACCGAGTATTTGGGAGCCAAATGTCCTAACCTTTCCAGCCACCGGGGTTTACCATATATTCGATTAGGGTGGTGGAGTACTCTATCCTTTCTCACCCTTGTGCTCATCCAATTTGGCCACAATAAACCTTCATCCTCTAATGTGGGCACTTCCTTGGGAACTTCCTCCGGTTCCGAGCCGCGCCGCCCTACCGGTCTAGTGTGCGGGGTTACATTCGTTTCAATGTATTCTTCTTGGGGGTCGGTTCCGCGCCGCGCCACCGACCTAATGCAAATAGGCCGAGAAACCAGCTGATCATTGGAACGTCGCGTTGGCGGTGGATGTACAAGCCTTTCTTACAATTCATGGCCAGAGACATGTTTGTATTTCCGCCTCATGAGTATTTATTACTCGAAATCGAGATAGCTGCCTGCAACTTCTGTAAGTAGAGCCATATTTTCCAAAAAGTAAACAATCATTCCATTGTTGGGTCTATAAAATATCTACAAAAAGGACAAACGCACCGACCATCTACATAACAGCGTTCTAGTTGTTTGTATGATTCTTTTAAAACTTTAGAAAATACAAGCCTTAAATTGTGCTCATTTATTAGGAACAATTTATAAAACTTTTGTGTACACACGATTTTTTATTACAATCATAAAAAAATAAAATCCCATAGTTGTCAATAAGTGCAAGAAAAAGAAAAACTCTATTATTAATTCAGAAATGTATGAGCGTTAAAATAAACTCGAACGTCCATGTTTGAACATAAGAAAATGGTTTCTTATGGAAAATTAGTGCTTCGAGTCCAAATATCAGACGGTGTCATCAGGGGTCGTCTCGATTTCCACTTGGTCGTAGTTTGCTTGAGACGCAAACGGTTCGATGCTGGGGAACGGCTGGTGGTACAGAGGTACGACCATGTCGTACTCTTCTTCCGGGCCGACCTGGAGGAAGATGACGTCGTCGTCAGGATGTGGCTTGGCAGGAGTCAAAGCGACCGATGCCAAGGTCGGCAGCTTAGATTCCCCAGCGTCGTACGCTAGCTCTTCAAGATTATGCTCTATAACCAGTCTCTTCGGTTTCCTGGAAAAGACAATAAATATTTAATTAAATACAGAAATCTGAATAAGTGATTAAGCGCCACCTTCATCTACCAGCCCATTTAGGCCCATGTTGGTGATGTATTTGCCAAAAGACAATATTTTGAATAAATAAAATAAATATTTTGTATTTCGTTAATACAAAAATATTAGTTTATATGTGTATGGTGTTTAGTGACCATTAGCCAATGATTATTTGGAAATCGTGAGATGTCGTCTGATGTGACCTAGGTTTTAGAAAAGCATTTTCTTTATCGTGCCAACGTTTCGATCTTTGCGTGTGGTGTTTAGTGAACGTTAGCCAATGATTATTTGGAGATCGTGAGATGCGGTCTGGTGTGACGTAGGTTTTAGAAAAACTCTTTCTTTACCATCAACGTTTCGATCTTTATTGAGATCATTTGCAGGGACTGGGACTTACAAACATTGTTTAAATTTAACAAATACATGTACGATGAAGAAAATATAGAATTTATACGATGCAAAAAAATTTAATATCCAATCAAATTTATTTGTACTCACTCAAAGTGTTGGTGTTCAAAAGTTACGTTTATGTTTGTACTGTTCTGTGTGTAGTATTTTTGGATTCTTGAAGTCGAATTTGTGTTGGTGTTCAAAATTGTGGGTAACCAGTGCTGTAGGATTTTGTTTGGGTTTTTTGCAATCATAAACAGAGTAAAGCAACATATCTATGATTGCAAAAACCCCAAACAAAATCCTACGCATGTAAACTCAGCCGCAGTTACGCCAATATCATTAATCAAATTCAATATCGATAACGTACATATCTCATCATCAAATCACACAAAACATATAACATTTAAAATAATCATAACATTCCACACATCCAACATTTCTGCAAGGTCTAATTGATCAACAATTTAGCTTTTCTTTCCCTAATTATCCCTGTCTATATAATCCTAAAAGGATAATCAAGCCGAATATTATGCACGTTTTTTTTCTTGCAATTCCTCATATAAAAATGTCTTTCTATCCCGACTTTATTCTCCACCCCTTCAAAATCCAACGCATATAAACGTAAAACAGCAATATTTCACTGGCACTCTCAACACGACACACAAGAATGAGAAAACAAACACTTTGTGTGAGTACAAATATTTTGATCGAATATAAAAAATAATTTTTTGTATTGTATAAATTCACTTTTTGTCTACATCGTACATGTATTTGTTAAATTTAAACAATGTTTGTAAATCCTAGGCCCTGAAGATGATCTCATTAAAGGTCGAAAGGTCTGCACGATAAAGAAAATGTTTTTCTTAAATCAACGTCACACCAGTACGCACCTCACGATCTGCAAACAATCATTGGCTAACGGTCGCTAAACACCGCACATTCTTCACAAGTTATTTACCACACATCAGCTAAATTTCGGCTTGAAAAACAAAATGTATACCACTTTTTGACAGTAGCAAACAATCACGGTGATATTTCGGTCACTTAATTAATCGATCTCCATTAAATAACAAAATTTAAAACGTTTATTGTAAATTACTTCAGGTTATGTGTTCGAAATTCGGTTTATACATTATTTATTGTACAAACATTTTTGGTTCGTGTTATATGTAAAATGTATTGTATATAAATATACAATATAATTCGATTCCATAATATTGAAAATACTTTTGCCATTATAAACGTAATATTTTGGAAATTTTGAATTAAATTATAATCAAAAAATTTATTTTATTTCGCATGGTTGTTTAATCAAATCCTTACACAGATATTATTCTTCGTCCAAAATTAAAGTTAATATCACCAGTTGTTTATGCGAAAACGTAGTCATTTCAGATACAGAATGTCAGGAATCTGATGATTGTCTGATAACCTGATGGGCACTAAGATCGGGATCTGGGTAGGAGGATTGTGATAGTTGTACCTCAGTTTATTATTACATTTTGGTCCAGGAGGACGCACTGAACTGAAAATGCATGTTGCCAACCAGAACAGTGGTGTCCTGCTTGTCCTTGTTGTACAAATAATTTGTACCAGAATTTTTTGTAGAAAAAGTTTTGAATCTATTGTACCCACTGCAATGAGCGGATTTAATGTAATTTCTCGTGGGCACCTCCAAATTATCCCCTCCTCACCATAGGGACCACTTTTCCAGATGGAAACATGCATTTTCCAGTTCAGTATGATCTTCTTAACAATAATCAAAAAAGATTCTGTGGTGCCATATTTTTGCATTCTCAACCTCACATAGTTCCTGGTCTAAACAGATTCACCACTATGGCATCACAGGTGGTTGAATCCCGGGCTTGTCACGTCATGCACAAATCAGTGTGACATTCCAGGTATAAACATTTGTCAAGGATAACTCCGCTATTTTTCAACTTTCTTCTCGATTAGCAAACAAATCTATTTTTACGAAAAAATAGAAAAAAGAAGATTATGTTAAATGAGAAATTTGCACCAGGCTCATCACGTTTTAATGAGCTACATGCAGAACGTCCTGTTAATCGATGTTATTCGAGGAAATTGTTGAAACTATACAAATAATAAAATTTACGTGCCTCCGGGTTTTCACAAAAACGCTCAAATAAAAAATATGGGGGGAGCAGAAGTTAAACTCACCCTGATATCTACCCTCATATCTAAGAATCCTTGAAGCACTTTCCCCCGGTTGCAGGGACAGAGGCAAAACAATATGCTTAAAATCTTTTTAAGCAGCGTAAATTGCATTTTCTCCCCTTATAATAGTCAAACTTGGAATAACGAGCCTTCGGATTACTCTAATTATTATTATTCGTTAGTCTTGCTAGATAATACTAGTAACATCTCAACACCATTTGTATTCAGTTGATTAAAATAAAAGTTGTTTGTGCAAAACGTTTTTGTTGAATGCCAAGAGGAAAATGGCAGTCGGTAGGGCGGTTTAACATTTCGAACGAATATCGAAATGTTTGATTTAACAGTTGATTAGCTGGACTTTCTTTGGGCGTTACTTGAATCCGAAAGGAAATTGGACAAAGTTTTTATTGATGCCAATAGGAAATTTATATATTCATGCGATATAGCTTTTATTTTAGAAATCTGAAAGTCAGACTTTGTTCTAAATAGGTTTTTTAAAGTAGTACCTAATTTAAATGGTTTTCACCAATTTTACGCAATGCTGAACGATTCGTCCCTAATAATCATTAACGTCATTAATTTCACACAGATAGCTGGGTATATGTTTCCCACTGGGGTCGCAATGTCATATAACATTGAGGTTTTTAGCGTGCGCACCTGGCCGATTAGGCCTTATCACATGTTTAGATACCCAAGTTAGGAGCGACTCACCTCCGCGCGCGGAAATCTGCTTCTTCCGCGAAGTTCGGGGTAGAAGTTCACTTCATCATGCAGCAAACTATCGATATGCCGACTTGCCACTTCCGAGGCGGTGGGTTAATTTTGTGCGCTCAACCGTGTGCCGCGCGTAAAGGGATACCCAAAAGGGGTCGAATTGCATCGGCCAAGTCTCCCACGCACTCCGTAGATAGAGAAGACAATTATCTCCCTGGTTGTAGGGACAGTTTGGGTCCCGATTACTAATCGTCAACAAGACAAGAGGATCTTTAACGCCCGCACCTAGCCTATTCGGCCTTATCGGACGTTTGGATTCTCAAGATGAGAGCTGACGCACTTCTGCATACGACGGAAAAGTGTTACCGCCGCAGCATTCAGATTGTAGGGACACCGCCAGCGTCGAAACCTTCGGATGCGTTCCAGCCGTGGTTTCGATTTAAGTGGAATCTCTAACCACCCCCCTAGAGGAGACCATGCCTTAGGTAAAGGCAGTCCAGACGGCCACCACCGAAAAACATCCGCCACCATTCGAGAGACTCCGTCAGCGCAGTCTTAGCTCCTCGATGGTTGTTCGCTTCAGCAGACCTATCGCTCCGATTCCCGCGAGGTCGGGAGGTAATACGGAAGTCATGCGCAAGTACTACGGTCCACGGCCACGAATGAGAAACAGCCTCTTCTCCTAGGGACCCCTAGGATAATAGTACCCGCCAGGGGTCTCACCACTAAGCCATTGCGAGACCTTACCCACGCACCTGCGCTTGAACTTGGAACGAAAATATGCTGCCCGCAGTACAGATGATTATGCAGCCTCCCCCGTCCGTATATATATATATATATATATATATATATATTTAGACAGGATCTGGTCGCGAAATAGCTGGGTAATGGATTATTGATGTCGGCTATGGGTTATAATAGTTTTACCTCTTTCAAGACGAGAGACCGTACCGTTACGCCTGCGTGGTCACTTATGACATTTAATCGCATTGAGTAATATAAATTTTCCCAAAAGAGAATTGTGATTTCAGCCGCACATGCGTAAATTAATGTACTTTGCCACTTGAAACTTCTCGTGAAAGGGGTCTGCGGCAAGAACAGCGTGATCCTGTCACCGGATCGCCTTCGGAGGGACATAGTGCTTATATATTTGTCCCAATTATTGCCGACACGATGAAAACGGAGATCAATTATTCGAGATATGCGAGTCGGAAATCGGCAAGTGTTAATCTAAAGCTGCAATGGGGGCGTTTGGTATCGTAACTGAAGTCCGATCGTGATACCTTCCACCGTTAATTTTTAAATATAGTATATAATGTTAATCACGTCCATATTTACAGTTAGAAGAGCCGAATCTCTGTTCGAGCGGCAAATTAATTGAGCACATTCGTCTCTTAAGTAAAACGCTCCACTCTCCTTTAATTATTATATTTCCGACCGTAAATGTTAGCTCTTTATTAATAATCGCTACGGATAACTTATATGTAGATAACTGGGAAACCGAACGTTATTAACTTGCTAGTATTTATTTATTCAAGTTGGTAAACTGTTATTTACACCAACACAACCGTAAACCGGGAAAGGAGAGAATTTAATCATAATGATAACTCCTCGATTTCAAGTTATTCAATAAACTCCATTCTGTGGAAATAATATACTCATAGGCAATATTTTTATCAAAGGAATATGAGGATTGATTGAATTATTAATTATTATTGAATTATACGACTGTAGTTTTTGCTAAAGAAAAAAAGGCAAATTTTGTTTTGTGCACTAGTCCAACAGATAGTAAATAATAAAAGCAATGTGTAAGCATTCATATAATAAAATTGTATGGCTTTTTCAAATTCCAACAAGAAAAAATCTTACAAATGTACATTTAATAAACGCTAAAAATAATCAGTTGTGATAGTTATCTATTTCTGAAATAGTCATATATTTATTCTCTATTTATAGTTTAAAGTTCTCTCTCTCCATCTTCTCACCCCCTCTCCCTTCTCTGTCTAATCCTCTCTCCCACTCTTTCTCTCTCACCCTCTCCCTCTTCCGTTCCCTCTCCCGCACCCCCTCCCACTCACTCCCTTCTCTCTCTCTCTCACTCTCACTCCACTCTCACTCTCTCTCCTTCTCCATCTCCCACTCCCTCCATTCTCTCTCCCCCTCTCCCTCTTCCTCGTCGCTCCCACCCATCTCTCTCTCACTCTCACTCTACTCTCACTCTTTCTCTCTCCCTCCCTCTCCTTCCACTCACTCTCTCTCAATCCCTCTCCCTCTCCTACTTCTTCCCTTCTCTCTCTCACTTTCACTCCACTCCCCTCTCCCTCTTTCGCTCCCTCTTCCTCTCTTCCTCCCATCCTTCTCTCTCTCACTCTCACTCCACTCTCACTCTCTCAATCTCACTCTACTCTCACTCTTTCTCTCTATCTCCCTCTCCCTCCACTCTCTCTCTCCCTCCCTCTCCATCCACTCACTCTCTCTCACTCCCTCTCCCTCTCCCACTTCCTCCCTTCTCTCTCTCACTTTCACTCCACTCCCCTCTCCCTCTTTCGCTCCCTCTTCCTCTCTTCCTCCCACCCTTCTCTCTCTCACTCTCACTCCACTCTCACTCTCTCCATCTCACTCTACTCTCACTCTTTCTCTCTACCTCCCTCTCCCTCCACTCTCTCTCTCCCTCCCTCTCCTTCCACTCACTCTCTCTCACTCCCTCTCCCTCTCCCACTTCCTCCCTTCTCTCTCTCACTTTCTCCACTCCCCTCTTCCTCTCTTCCTCCCACCCTTCTCTCTCTCACTCTCACTCCACTCTCACTCTCTCTCTCTCACCGGACCTCTCTCACTTTCCTTATTACTATTTCTCCTTCCCATTTTTTCTAACAAGGTACACAATCGCCGGTGATTGCCCTGTCCGTTTTTCGGAAAAATGGCCAAAAGACAAAGTAAAATGAAATTGTAAAATTTTAGTTATAATTGGTGCTGTTTGTATTTCAGAAGTTTATAGTACTTTCGCATTAAACAAGCATTACTGACAATACGTAACATTCAAAATCTTGCTTTATATTCGCAAATTTGATTTAGAAATAAACAGCTTAACATTCGGGAAATTGAACGTTCAACCGATAAACGTTTTATTGAGTTTTTCTTTTAACAAGTTTCTTACTGTTATAAGGTTTTACATATAACACTCGTTATTAATCGTTTTTACCAAAGCTAAGGTTTTATTGAGCTTTTTTTGTCCTTCTCAACGATTAGTAGTTTAAGAAGAACAAACAATTAAAGTGTGAAATAAATCAGACAAACTAAACGAATACATTGTGAGAAATGATGGGTGCAACCACTACTTATCGTACGTGGCACAATGGGCAAGTACATAATATATTAATACAAACATCAGTATTTATTTTACGTAGGAATTAATCAAAATCAGCTTTAAAAAAATACATCTGTTCTCCACGTTGACCTTTCTATCTCACACGTATCTTGTTTACTGAATTATTTTTGATTTTCGTGAAGTGCTTTAATTGTCCATATTGAAAATTAAAATAGTTATTCTTCTCTTTTTCATTCGTGGTTGTTCGCTTATTTTAAGATCATTTTTAAGGTGTTTTTCAGAAATATACAGCCATTTCGACATATAATTTTATTAATTATTACACAATTATACATTAATGAGGTACATATGATACGTCGAAATGGTTGTACGTTTCTGAAAAACACCTTAAAACGATATTAAAATACATCACGAAATGGTTAATAAATGTTAACTCAAGCGCCTGGTGAAGCAATAGCAAGTTAAAATGCGCAATAAGAAAGTTTATTCAATATAACATTGTGCAGTTGCATTTATTAGGTTTCGTGGTCCGCTTGACCAAATAAATACTTTTCAATTAATTAATTTTTTAAATTAAGGTTTTGGTTGAAATAAAAAAGTCAGTGTCACAAGCGGGATTCGAACCCACGACCTTCGGCTAAATACGCCGCTCCTCGAGCACTTGAGCTATCGTGACTCGGATCCACTCGGACACTAACTTCCCATCTCAACCCCCACCTTTTGAATTTCCTTGCTTTTTGCCATTTTTTCATGGGTCGTGTAATCTATTTGATTCTCGGCGACAAATGAAGTCGCCACGGAGAGCTTTAGTGAAGTATACTTCATTTTGCTTATTACATTTTATTAGGTTTCGTGGTCCGCATGACAGACCTGTCAGACCAGGAGGCAGTGTGGCGAGAAACCAATCAGTGCTGAAACTCTCTTTTATTTAATTGGTGGGGGGGGGGGTTAAAGTTAATTCGGTGGGTTAGATAGAAGGTTTCGTGGTCCGCTTGGCCAAATAAATTCTTTTCAATTAATTATTTTATTAAATGAAGGTTTTGGTTAAAATAAAAACGATAGCTCAAGTCGAGCAGCGGCGTATTTAGCATTTAGAAGGTCGTGGGTTCGAATCCCGCTTGTCACACTTACTTTTTTATTTGAACCAAAACCTTAATTAAAAAAATTAATTAATTGATTGTGCAGTTGGTTTTGAACTTACTTTTTCTTTTGTCGCACCGCCAGAGGATTCTCGATTTTCTGGGCGTCCTGCGATGGATGGTAGAGCCCTGTTACATAAGCAGCTGCAGCTCCCATCTCTTCGTTGTGTGTCTGTACCAGGTGGGCTCTGAACTCTTTCGAGTAGTTGGTAGTGTATTCACAGCCCGAAGTCTTGCATTTGTACAAAGACAGACCAGGGTGCCTTTTTGAGGAAAGCACGTGCTTCCGTAAGTTTTCCTAGAACAAAATAATAATCACATAGCCAAAATCAAGAAAGTTTAACCTTTTTATTTAAAAAAATTCAAAAAACTATATATATATATATATCATTATGACAATGAAAAGTTGAGACAAAATGTGATATTTCAATAAGCCTCTCTACCTGTACTGTCGTGAAGACATAGTACCATTACATCCTCGAATATAACTACCTCCTTCCAGATATATATTTCCATAAATTATACCTTTTGTGTATATATTTCATTCATTCAATTCAGGTTTCAATCTCTGGTAACTTTATTACTCTTTTAATGTGAAAACTGAACTTGAAGAAGGAAGTTTGTTGAGATTGGTCCTCGTCAAACGACTCGCAGGGTGCCATTGTTCTTATAACTGGGTGACTTAGATATTTGGACTTCCTTGGAGGCGTAATTTATGCTTTTGTGTATATCAAATAATCTCAGTAAAAATGACCGGTATCTTCAGGTCTCGATGACCAGGCATGAACCACTTGAAGGGGAATCGACCATATGCCATAATTTCAATAATTTCGTGGTCCGCTTGACCAATTAATACATTACAATTAATTAAGGTTTTTTTTTTTTTTTTTTTTTTTTTTTTTTTTTTTTTTTTTTTGGCGTTATGAACTATGCATATTAGCCATGTGACAAATTCGTATATGTGTGTTCAAATTTGGGGGGTTATTGGGAAAAAAGGGCCAGGGGCAACGGTGGGAATCGAACCCACGACCGCGGCGTGAGAGTCTCTCATGCTAACCACTCGGCTACCGCGGTCCCCTAAGGTTTTTAGTTGAGATGAAAAAAAAGTTAATGGCACGAGAGGTATTCGAACCCACGACCTTCGGAGTTGATGTCCGAGTGGATCGAGGTCACGATAGCTCAGGTGGTAGAGCAGCGGCGTATCTAGCCGAAGGTCGTGGGTTCGAATCCCTCTCGTACCATTAATTTTTTTTCATCTCAACTAAAAACCTTAATTAATTGTAATATGCCATAATATTACTACTTATTCCCAAAAGTCAATTGTCTATATCTTTACTACTTTTAATACCCAGTACTTTTCTTTTTTTAATGTTCTCTCCATTTCAGTTAAGAATCCGGTATCATACCTAGATAGTTCACTGCGTCTTGTGGCTGGACTATTTTTCCATTTACTTTAATTGTTTATGTTTTCACACTTATGTTCATTTATTTTAAATGACATGTTTGTTCACTTACAAATTAAAGAAGTCAATACTCAAGCTTAAAGAAATATGCAAAAACGAACCCCGAAAGTGCTAACCTTCGGCGTAGTGCACCTTTTCGGATTTTGTAATAAAGAAGAGTTAATTTCAGACAATAAATTTTTGAAAAGGAAAGTCATCAATGACCCGGAACGAATAAATGAAATAAATAAATTTATTTACTTCTTCTTGAAGTGTGTTTTTTTGAATCACATTAGATAAGGTTTCATTTGGCTTAAATATTTTTTCTAGGTAATTTGAGTATTTATTCGAAGATCGTGAGCTCGAATACTGCCAGTGACACAAATTTTTCATGTATATTTGAATATTAGTTTGGTGTTGTTTTCAGTGTCTAGGAAGAAAGTTCGAAGAAGTGTTTTTGTAAGTGTGTACTGAGTAGTCAAAACATGAATAAGTTTTCTATGATTTTAATAATACTTGAAGAAACTGTTCTTGAAGTAAAGATATTTTACAGATATTTTGTTGGGATCAGTTGGCTTACTTTTGTAATGGTTGTTGCAGCCCATTATCGGCAATAATATCGCCTTTCTAAGTTCCTTTCCTTTGGTGGCTGATAGCCTGGAGATCCACGAAGGATTCTCCACCAAAAATGTATTCTCTTTGTATTCTCCACCTCTGACCAAGACAAAATAGGAGGTTGGTGGAGCTTGCTTTGGAGCGGAATGATGAAGTTGTGATTAGGGGGGCAATATATGGTTCCTGATATTTAGCTTTAGTGTTGTTCCAAAAATTAAGTGTTAGAGGAACCTGCCATCCTTTTATGTATGATACCTTCGAGACCGTATACCGTATTCTTTGGCGAACGCTTGACAATCAAATAGGTTCACCTTCTATAAAATGTTTGACAATAAATGTAAATGGTTTTCATTCGCGAAAGAACTGCCTATTAACTTGAGGTATCTTTGTTGAATATTTAAAATGACGGGCGAATTATTTTACCTAAATTTCACCCCATGGGTTGAAAAAAGGATTGAGCTATGTTCATTCTGTGTTGCACCGCTGCGCCATTACAATCTTGAAGTATGATGATTTATTATTATTTCTAATACTAGGCAAATGTCGATATCGTTTTCATTTAGAAATATTCCCAATACGTCTTTTCTATTTTACATCGCATTTCACGTTACTATTATTATTCAGAAATCGTGAGATGCGGTCTGGTGTGATGTAGGTTTCAGAAAAACATTTTCTTTATGGAGCCAACGTTTCGATCTTTATTGAGATCATCTTCAGGACCACATCTCACGATCTCCAAATAATCATTGGCTAACGGTCACTAAACATCACATACACTAATAATAATAATAATATTGAAGCTAGACTAAATTATAGTAGGAGTTCTCCAACCACGTGTCGACACGAATTGAAAGATTCTTCCATTTCATGTCGAGATACCTGGTGGTAGAACTCAGCCTGATGATGAGATATAAGCTTGAAATCCGGATCGTAGAAAACCACTAACTGTAGCAGGAATTATCTTTTGAAAAAGATTGTACACTCACTCCACCGTTTATCATTTCTATCGCAGTAATATCAATTCTTTTAATTGAAACTAATTTTTCATTTTGGCTAGAAAAATTATTTTTCTTTATAGTGTTATTTTTTATAATATTATCTCACAAACAAAGTAAATGCTTAAATTATGATAATCACTTATTATGGGAAGGCTCCTTAAAGCTGTCTTAACACAAACTGAGGGAATGAAGAGTTTCATAGTGACTAACACTAAAATCTAATTCTTAATGAAAAAATAAAAAAATAAATTATTCAGAGATCGTGAGATGCGGTCTGGTGTGACGTAGGTTTTAGAAAAACATTTTCTAGATCGTGCCAACGTTTCGATCTTTAATAAAATCATTTTCAGGGCCTGGAATTTATAAACATTGTTTATATGTTACAAATACATGTAGCAGGTGAGGAAAAAAACATTTATTTGTAAAATTTATACAATGTTTATAAATCCCAGGCCCTGAAGATGATCTCAATAAAGATCAAAACGTTGGCATGACAAAGAATTTTTTTCTAAAACCTACGTCGCGCCTCACAATCTCCAAAAAATCATTGGCTAACGGTCACTAACAACCACACATAAAAAAATAAACATTTGTCAAACCTGTTTTGATTTAATTTATTAATATTACGATAAACATAAATTAAACGTTTACCAAAAGGTTGCAAGTGAAGGAACAGTGAGGACATTTGTACGGTTTGGCACCTGAGTGGACCCTCAGATGTCTCTTGAGATGGGTTCCATGTTTGGTTTTGAAATCGCAGTGCGGGCATGAAATCGAACCTGGTTCTCCGTGTACCACTTTGACGTGTCTGAAACAAAGTAGAAACATTTTTAGTGTCCGCTAACGGCTTCTCAAATCATTCCACATAAAAAGACCTCGAAATAGGTTGCATTTCGCGTCGGTCTTTTCTCCAAGTTGTACCAGCGTGTTTATGCTTTCCCTTTGCGTTCTAATTAAAGTGACAATCAGAGGCTGGGATCAGTGTTGAAAATAAAGGAGGGGATCATTTACCCGAATCGTGACGGTGGCTCCTTATCTCGAGCCAACTCCACGCCCTATCTTCTACCGTCCGGCTTCGGCCAATAATTGATTCCACTCCTGTTATTGTGGTCAAGCAAATAACAACAAGTTGATTAAGATTAAAACATTCCCCTTCTTTGCGTAGAGTATCGTTTCATTATTCGTTTCTGTTAATAGAAGCCTGAAAATTGTGGAAGGATCCATCATAATATGTTCTTCAGAAAGGAAAGAAGTTGCACACGCGTTAGCAGTTAGGTTAAAAGATCCAATGTTTCTTCTTAAAAATAACGAGGAATAAAATTAATAAATTTTTAATCTCAAGATACCATTGATTTCTTCAACCTGACTTAAATGTAAACTGAAATCAGTCTATTGGACTACTAGACTGTTACAACGCAAGGTTAGAATGGGAAATGATCTTTAATTGCAAGGCGTAGATTGGTTTTAATTTTTGTATGATTTGGTGTAAAAAAGGAAGCATTTCCTTGTTTCCAAAGGCAGTTCCTAATTTTAATCGAAAAGAGGGATTAACTTTTGATTTCAAAGCCAAATTTATATCAAATCGGGTACTCTAGTCGGCGAATTGGTTATTATGTACGTCGAGACAAATGGCTCAAAATTAGCTTCTAAATAAGTAACGAGATGGGAGTCATCACCATTTAAAAGCGAGAAGTCTAGTCATAAAACAATAAATATGATTTAATAAAGAGTCGAGGTATGAATAGATAAGCTCCCGCAGAATGTTACACGGGGGGGGGGGATTTGCTAACGAATTTTATCCAACTTCGACAAAGACTTTAAAATTAAAAATTGACTGAAAAATTCTAGTTTACGAAGAATTTACGTATTTACAAATGTGTGGTGTTTAGTGACCGTTAGCCAATGATTATTCGGAGATCGTGAGATGCGGTTTGGTGTGACGTAGGTTTTAGAAAAACATTTTCTTTATCGAGCCAACGTTTCTATCTTTATTGAGATCATCTTCAGGTCTCAAAGTGTTTGTTTTCCGTGTAGATGGCACTCTCAACACGACATCAGACCGCACCTCACAATCTCCAAATAATCGTATTTACAATACTGTGAAAATTGAATTCTTTAGAATGCCACTTGGAACAGTATCAAAAATTTAAGTCAACTCATATTGTAATTATGAGATATTGTGGTGACGTCTACAAGGTTAAAGATGTTGGTTCAATGAGCAATCATTTTCTTCAGTGAAGATGGCTTGAAACCAAAACGCGTAGAGTGAACGAACCCAGTAAAATGATCAAGTGCCAATCAGTTCAACATCTCTTGGACAGTGTGACTAATAGACCATATAGTCAGTATACAGCCGGCAAATGTTTTTCCATCATCACTAAAAAAAAATTAATATTGAATCATGATAAACGTAGTGATGTAGACGGAAACGTAAAATTTATTAAGGGGATTGAATACTGCACATTTAGGAGCTATCATGTGTCTTACTCTGTACTTACAGTTCGCCGGTGAGTTCGTGGAGGAATTTGATTATTGGTCCCAGCTTTGGTGGTAGTATTTCGTCCAATATGTACGTGGTACTTATAGTATAACATTTGTGATTGGGGGACCGCGGTAGTCGAGTGGTTAGCATGAGAGACTCTCACGCCGCGGTCGTGGGTTCGATTCCCACCGTCGCCTCTGGCCCTTTTTTCCCGATAACCCCCAATTTGAACACACAAGAATTCGTACCATGGCTAATATGCAAGATCATAAGGCAAAAAAAAAACATTTGTGACAAATATTTCTTGTGATCTATTTGGGAGGAACCCTATAATGTTAATGATCAGTGTGTCAGTGAGAAACAAAAATGCAAATTTTGAACTTCTCTCGTTCCGAAACGGGTTAATATTAAGTGATCAAACTTTTACCATGTACTAAGGACTTAAAGGTTAATTTATGTTTCACATTTCAAAAGCACATCTTAAGAGGAAGTCGAGGGTGAATTGGTAAGCATGGCAGCTTGCTGGGATATGGACTGCGCACTGCCGTGCGCTCAGATGGGTTTTCAGTTCATTCTCTTATTGTGCAACTTCTTGCGCATTTGATTTGTTTGGCGTCTTCTATGGTATGGTGGTATGGTGATAAGGATACTAAGAAGCAGGGTTTGTGCTCCCCAGGCACTGCAGCCTTCTGGCTTATTGTACCTTCCTAATGTCTTAGTTCATTGTAATAGAATCAATCCTTCTCCTTAGAAGTATCAGGTCATTGACTGTCGCGTCTGCAATTTGATTCCCAAAGTTTTTTCCGTACGTTAGGTTAAATCTCCATTGAGCTGTTGCTTCGCATTCGAAGATGATATGAGTGGCTGTTTCCTCCTCCTCATTACATAATCTGCAAAAGGGATCATCGTTTATATACCCATGTTGTGTACATGTTTTCTCAGATGCCAATGACCGGTTAGTCGTCCTACCACTCCTCTGAGTTTGGCCCTCTGCAATTGGAGCAGTGCTTTTGCCAGTCTTGGTGAGGATTGTTTCATCATAAGTTTACTATGTCTAGCCTTTTGTTTTGTTTGGATCCATTCTGCGATGGAGAATTCTATATTTGTTTTTGTTATCCCAAGAATAGGTTCGGGGCCTATGTATGATCTTGCAGATCCTCCTCTGGCCAGACTGTCTGCTTTCTCGTTACCCAAAATTCTTCCTGGGCCCTGGCACCCAAGATATCATCAGGTTGTTGTGTTTCCCCAGGTTTCGGAGATTTTGGATGCATTCATTGACTAATTTTGAAGTGATTCTTTTACATGCTAATGCTTTAATGGCTGTTTGGCTAGCTGATCTTATGAGGATTTTTTTTTCAGTGTAACCTCTTTTAAAATTTTCCAGGGCACAAGCATTGATGGCATGTATTTCTGCTTGAAAGACCGAAGTGTACTTCCTTAATGATTTTGATTGCTCATGTTTTGGGCTTGTACAGAAAATTGGCGTCTTCTATTTTTACATATGAATGAAAGCATGCATTATCAATTTCAATTTCAAGCAGGCATTGTGATCCTTCCAGGTCATATAACAGATTTTAAGTATCAGTGTTCATCCAACATTATCTAAGATTTTGAGAGGATTATGAGTAGCCAAATTTTATCTCACATCGAAAAGAACAAAATTCGCTTCATTTAGACATAATTATATAGACAACAAAGCGTTCAGCAAAGAATGTGACACTTGTTAAGGTACAAAAGTTGCACGCTTGGGATCTGCAATAACGTAGACGTTGGATAAAAAATGAACCGTCGGTTGACATAACAGTATGTTATTCTATTCCGGTTTGGTAGAACGGACAAAGTATAACACCAGTCCGCCGAAATAATAAACCCTAGGGATTATTTTCATGTAAAATTAATAAAAGTGTGCTGCCGGGCAAGACGGCATAAATAAAACAGCTTACTTGACTAGTTGACATTTTGTTTTGGCGGAATAGTCACATTGCTGGCAGTGGAAGTCACGTAGGGCTGAGTGGGTCTTAAGGTGGATCTTGAGCTCTGCTTCCGACCTCCCTTTGAAGACGCACCCCTGTTCGCCACACTGGAACTTTTTGCCGAAATGCCGCTGCTGGTGTTGCGTCAGGCTCGACCTGGAAACGGAAAAAACGTTCACCCTCGTGGAAAACTCTCCAACTCGGCCCTCGTAACGATCGACGTGATGCAAATACTTGTTTTGGTGTTAATATTCGATATAAATCGAGCACTATCTAAGATCAACCAGTAATAACCTCGTTATTGGAAAATGGTAATTTTCTCCAACATTTCTCATTTAGGGCAATTCATAAAAAGGTGTTTTCTCTTTTTCCCACTTTCATTCCAGGTCATCTTATGTAATCGAATGTACTTTTCATGTATGTATCAATTTGTATATTTGTTAGTTTTTTAGTGTTAATAGCAAATTTAAAGTGAAGTGAATATATCAATTAACGATTTGAAAAGATAGTTCTACTCACGAATGTTCAGGTAAGGCTTTCCTCGGGGACCGCGGTAGCCGAGTGGTTAAGGTGTTAACCCCGTGGTATTGGGTTCGATTCTCAATGTCGCCTCTCCTTTTTTTCTGATGCGGGACCGGAGGTCGCAATGAAAATTGACGTTGACACAGTACTTATCAATAATCCCTCAAAGGAGCCGTACCTTAATGATTAAAGACCACGGTAACAAGAGCGGTAATAACGTGGTTGTATCCTGCAAAGGTTATTGGGCGTCGGCATGTCCTTTCTCTCAATACAATTCCCCGGACCTTGTAGTGGGTGCTCTAAGGAGCCCTTCCCAACCCTTGGTTGCAAGGGGGGGTTTCCAGGGCCAAAATAATGATGTAGTCTTGGGAGCGTGAGGAACACTCTAAAGCACAAGCTGTGTTCGTGTTTCCTGGCGCGCATGATATCCTTAAGCATTCTCCGCCTGCATTTAGAAGATAGAACGAAGGAAGCGTATAGAATGAGAGGATGCTAAGACTATGCCTACCGGTCACCCGAAATACGTTAAGGGAGTTGGTGGTTTGCGAGTTGGCCGCGGATGGTACTAGATTAGCGGTACACGTGGGTAAGGGTACCAGATCCTGTCTCCATAGACGGGAAAAGGTGAATAATCAGCTGTACGACGGGATAGCACAGTGTCTTCAGTCCTAAGCCCAGTAGCGTCCTATGCGGCCGTAGGTGAGACCCCTGGCGAGAAAAGTATTGTCGGTGGTGTCCTTATGGGATTCCTTTACCGAAGGCAGTCGCCTCTAGGAACCTCTTTCAACGATAGTTTCGACCCTAGAAAGGCTAGGGTGATAGACTAACGAATTGGGGCGAAATATTTTTAAATTAAAACTACCGAAAGCCCGAAACTTATAATTAACGTCTCTAGTAGTCCCGAATTATCAGGCCTGATGGTAAATTTGAATTGTATCAACTCACGGGATCACTCCTCACTTGCCGGGATCAGCCAGTTCCTCTTCGTAACAACTCTTCGATCGGTTCACAAACAACACACACACACATTCACTTTTTTGAAAAACAATATTCTCTTTTGCTCGCGGAGACAATCTCTTCCTCGGAACGTCTATCCCCAACTTATCCTCCTTGCTTTTTTTTCCGTTTCTTTTTTTTCCAATCTCTGACCCAGTGCCATCCCGATCAGAATCTTGCAGGCCGCGAATTGCTTCCCGCTTCTCGGGCTTCTCTTCTCGGTTCGTCCCGCCACTTTTAAGCTTTATTAATTTTTTTTTGAAGAAGGAAAAAAATGTAATACTCAAAGGGTTTGTTTTCCGTGTAAATGTGTCATTCTTGCCTGTCGTGTTGAGAGTTAAATATGTTGTGTTTAGTGACCGTTAGTCATTGATTATTTGGAGATCGTGAGGTGCGGTCTGGTGTGATATAGGTTTTAGAAAATCATTTTCTTTTTCTACGTTTCGATCTTTATTGAGATAATTTTCAGGGCTCAAAGTGTTTGTTTTCCGTGTAGATGTGTCATTCTTGAGTGTCTCAAACACGACACCATACCGCACCACGATCTCCAAATAAACAACTGATAACTTTATTTTTAGAGAAGAAAATGAGTAAGTGGTTTGTAACACTGAATTTTTGAAATGATTTCGAAAAAAAAATGACAAAAGTGATATAAGACTCTATTTATCCCTTTTATTTCCTTTTTTATAAATTATCTGTCAGCTGGTAAATAATAAAAACAATACATCAACAACAAATTTAGTATATGTACCGCCGAAGCGTGTACAACAACAAATTAAACAACTTGTTCAAATTTCACTAAACGACGGTATAAAGGAAAAACTGTGAGTAAAGGCAGAATGCTCTTCCTAACATCGTACATCTCAAACTCTAAATGTCTTTATTACTTGATAATTGATGGAAGAGAAGCCTAGTTTTCATCACCTGTCATTCTTAGTACGGTACAACATAAAGCACATAAGGCTCCCTTGTTTTAATTATTAATCGTGGTGAGTGGTAAAAAAATATGTTCCGAGACGGGAACAATTTATCGCTGGAAAAGGCTGATGCCGTCGCCTGTTGTAGCCCGGCTGGCAATCGGTCAAGCGGGAGCAAGCCAGTCAGCGGATTTTTTATTAAATGTCATACTCGCCGGATTGGGAAAATATTTCGTTACTTGATCTGCCGATATTATGGGCTTACACGTGTTGGGCGTTCGTTGTCATTTACAAATGTCACGCGGTGTAGATGGTAATTAGAAGGCTGGAGGGCCCTAGGAGTACGCCGGATAAGATCAGAACACTATTAATCCGAAACATATCTCAACAGTTCTATCTCCCTGTCTTCAAACCGCCGCAAATAAACAGGGCCTTGATAAAAACATACCGTCTCCTTATTTCCCTCGGGGTAATATGAGTTAGCCAACTTAATGTTTTCATTTCATTGAAAAGGGGAAGTTTTTTTAGCCTCTGATTTTTACACCTATTCGTTTAGCGTTGGATAATCGATGCTGCTCATTATCGATTTCCGAGACCACTGTGATCGGGATCGTGCTTTTTGAACTGTCTTTTGTTGAGCCTTCGCCGTTCACTTGGCACCAGAAGCTCCACATGAAATATTGTGACCAGCGTGATTATGAACTAAGCGACATTTATGTCTGCACCTGAGCGCAATCAGTGTATAATATATTCAACATTGTCTCAATAAAAAACATCTTTAGCAAGAGTGTGCAATTACTGGTACTAACCGACTAAGTACTACATTGGTACTAAGCTGGTAATAAGTTATCAAGTATTTATAAGTTCGGTATATTTTTTCGCCCTTGAACTCGAATAACAAAATAATTAGTTGTAAACATTTCAGTATATCGACTTTTAGTTACATTTAAAAGCAGATAGTCAGTAACCAGATCGACTCCTTCAAATGACGGATCAACGGCCAAAGGCACGCCTTGTGCGGGCTTGAAGCCGGGAAAACACTTAAGCCGGGAACACACTTACCCGATGCTACGCCGTGCGACGTTACCCGATGCTACCCGATGCTTTGCCACGTTTTGGTGGGGTGTGCACATCTATCCGACGCAAGTACACGTCGCGTACAGTCCACAGCGTTTATCACAATAATCACGATCACAATCGCAACGCATCTTTTGTTCTTAATGCACTACTTTGAGCAAAACCTTTTAATAAATTGTTTGTTAAACTTGTTTTAAATAAAGTTACTCCTAACCATCATAATTAAACAATGTTTATAAAAACTTATGCATTTTTGATCTCGTTTAATTTGGTTTACATTAAAATAACATGTTGTAATTAATATAACGACAAAATTACGTGTACTTAGTTTGAAATAAACTACAAAAAATATGAGTGTCCTGTTCTGATGCTAACCGACATTACAAAATGGTATAATTTTACTAGAAAAACTATGAAATAAATTGTTAATTAAATTTTATGAGCAAAACCGTGTAATAAATTGTTCCAATTTTAGTACAATAAATTGTTAGTTAAATTCATTAAATCAAAAAATCGTATTCCGGTTTTTTGATTAATTTTCTACCAAACCATTAAAATTAATTTTTAAATAAAAAGTAATTAATTTTTAATCACAGTTAATTTGGTTTATATTAAAATAAGTATGTTGTAATTAATTTAGCGACAATAATACAGGTAGATTGAATAAAAATATGAGTGTCCTGTTCTTTTGTCTTCGACTGTACTCGATGCGACCCGACGAAAATCTGGACAGTGGGGATCGCAGAGCGTAGAGTAGAGTAGCGTGGCATAGCATCGGGTAGATGTGCCCGGGGGTAATGCAACCTTATGGAAAATCGGAGTTGGGATTTGCGTCGGGTAGCATCGGGTAGCGTCGCATTGCGTAGCATCGGGTAAGTGTGTTCCCGGCATTACCCGACGCAACGCTACTGGATGCTACCCGACGCGTTGCCACGTTTTGGTAGGGTGTGCACATCTATCCGACGTGAAGCGCACGCCACGTACAGTCACACAGCGTGTATCACAAATCAGTATCATAATCGCAACGCCTATTTTATTCTTAATGGATTATTTTGAGCAAAACCATGATATAAATTGTTAGTTAAATTTTATGAGCACAACCATGTAATAAATTGTTTGTTAAATTTAATTGTTTTAAATAATGTTAATCCGGTGTTTTGATAAATTTTCTGCTTAACCATCATAATTAATAAATTTTTTATAAAAACTCATGTTTATTTTATTTCGTTTAATTTGGTTTATATTAAAATAAGAATATTGTAATTACTATAACGACAAAATTACATAGACATAGTTTGAAATAAAATACAAAAAATATGAGTGTCCTTTTCTGACGCTACTCGACGAAAATGGTGTAATTGTATGAGCAAAACCACGACATAAATTGTTAGTTAAATTTTATGAGCAAAACCACGAAATAAATTGTTAGTTAACTTTTATGAACAAAACCGTGTTATAAATTGTTAGTTAAATTCATTATATCGAAAAATGCTATTCCGGTGTTTTGATCAATTTTCTACCAAATCAATAAAAAAAAATTTAATTCCACTTGTTTTCGCAGTCCGCTTGACAAATTAATATCTTTCAATTAGTTATAGTTTTTAGTTGAGATAAACGACTTTTTTAAATAAAAACTAATGAATT